TGAGGCAGTGTAAATTAGGGGAGGGTGTGTCACTGAGGCAGTGTAAATTAGGGGAGGGTGTAGTGAGGTGACTAAGGGCTCTGCTGTCCTGATCTCCCCAGCGGAAACCCTGCCGCATGAGGAAGGAGGCCCACTGATGGAGCAGCGTTTCCCAGATGACTCCATGGATTCTGCCTCCAGCTCCATGAAGTCACGACCGCCGGCACTGCGCAGCTCCTCCGAGTACCGGGCCCAAGCCAGCAGTCCATACTACCCCGGGCAGCCCCTGGCTCTGCGCTGCCACTCCTCCAGCGCCCCTGAGCTGGGCTCCACGCGACTACACAGACGAGTGGAAGGTAGGCAGAGTGCGTCGGAGGGCTCTGCAGCTTCAGTGTGTTTGATCTCTCAAGCATAAATTCATCTTGTGGAATTAAAAAACATACTTCAGCCCCCTCCTATGGCAAAAATCATGGATTTTTTTTTTTTGTGTGGGAACTGCTTGAAGGTGCGTGCTTGGAATTGCATTAGAATCATATTTTGCTTTGGTGTGGATTTAAAAAAAACTGTGACATAGTGCACTTGGCTGAGATTTTGGAAAATCTCCTGACTTTGGGTTTCAAAGTAAATGCTCAGAACCAGGGGCTCACGCTCAGTGGCTGAATGGTAATATTGCCTGGGCTGTTATGTAACAGACTTAAATGTTTGGAATTGTGTGAAACACTGCCACCTAGTGGATACTGGTGTCCCCGTGGTAATTCTCTTAAAGGGGCAGTTCACCCCGAAACTGAAACAATATGTTTTAGTGGGGCTTTAGTGCTGTCTGCCCTTCTAGGTTTTTCTGCTGGTTGTTGTCTAGTTTTGTCTAGTTCCACCACAAAGTACCGAAGTAACAAAGAAATACCCCAGCTGGTTTGGCACTTGCAGTACTCGGATGGAAAAGCGAAAGTTCCAAGAGTACCGTGCCAAAAGTGCCGTACCTGGTGCGGTGGAAAAGCGCCCTAATATAATGAGACGGCCATTCTTTATGTGGTGATTAAAGCACCAAAAAAATGGTGCCTCTTATCAGAAATCATGACCCGGTTATTGAAGATAGTCCACAGACTTTGTAGTCAGCAGTTTAATGTAGGAACTATTTTCTTCTATCGAACTCTATGCACTAATCGCATTACTGCGTAGAACATATGAGCACGAGCACCCCAGCGGTATCTTCTGTGCAGTGATACGATTGGTGTGTGGAGTTTAGCAGAAGAAAAAGTGAAATAAATATTTCCAAAATCCCATTTTTATGGGGTGTGATTCATAGTTCCTACCTGTCATGGAAAAATATTTCAGTATCAGCTGTGAATTGACAATTGTTCATGTGAAAATGTTGTGCTCCAGTTGATGGAATATGACTGTAGGTGAGATCTTTCCCATGATGCACGTGGATGTGATGAGTGGGGCTTGTATCATCCCCCCCCCCAGCAGCTAGCTCCACCACTGGCCCTGACCTCCAGGCTGCTGATCGGGAGCCCCCCCGGCACTCAGGCCAGAGCCCAGCGACCTGGACCATCGAGGAGGTGATCCAGTTTGTGCGAGAGGCCGACCCGCTGACCCTGGGCCCCCACGCCGAGCTCTTCCGAAAGCACGTGAGTGCTTAGGCTACCCAGACTCCTTTCCTCTCTCCCTCACCATCTCTCTCTCTGTCCTCCATTCTCTCTCTCCTGCTCTTTTCCTGCCAGCCCTCCCCGATCTTTCTTCTAACCCAGGGGTGGCCAGTCTTATCCACAAAGGTGTGTGCTGGTTTTTCTGATAACCTTTAGGTCAGCGGTTCAAACCCGGGTGTGAGGATTCTTCAGCCAACCAGTCTTCTAATTAGTAATCTAATTAGGGAATTGCAGTGAAAACCTGCACACACACACTGGCCCTTCCTGGATAAGATTGGCCACCCCGCTTCTAACCCAGTGTTTCCCAGTCAGGTCCTCAGGGACACACAGACAGTCCACGTTTTACCAAGACCTGGGAGGGAGCAAAAATGCGGACTATCTGTGGGTGTCTGAGGACTGGGTTGGGAATCACTGTTCTAACCCAGCATCAAGTTTGCCCCCACCCCCCTCCCCCGGCATGGTTGGATGGCCCCGACCCCCCAACCCCACCCTTTTCCAGGAACTCTCCTGCTTCTGCTTTGTGTACATTCCTGTGTGGTGGAGGCCCTCTCCTCCGTGTTTACATTCACCTGGCCGTCCTCTGCCTGTCTCACACCATCTTCCCTTTCATTCCTGGCTTCCAGCCCCACTGCGGATACATTTCGCCAGAGACCCTCAGTCCTCTGTCCAAACAGTGTCAGGAATTTCAAACAGAGCCGTGCGGCCCACTGCCCAGGGAAGGGCCTTCTCATTTCTCTCCCTTCTCACTAGGAACAATGCTTCTGGACCGAAGCTCAGTACAATGAGTTCAAAACACACAAGATCAAATGCAGATGGCAGATATAAAGAACCTTGGCAGGTTCTCCAACTGCAAAACTCAGATTTTCTGTACTGTGGTTAAATGTTGCCTTTAAATATCTCCTCTTCACAGTTTTTGAGAGAGTATTGAAAATATATATTTGTACAATATTCTTTTAATTTCTACCTTGAGTTTTTCGATTAGCACTGATCCTAGATTGTGAGTGACGTTACATGGTTGCCCCCTACAGGAGATCGACGGCAAGGCACTGCTGCTGCTGCGGAGTGACATGATCATGAAGTACATGGGGCTCAAACTGGGCCCTGCGCTCAAACTTTGCTACCACATCGAGAGGCTGAAGCAGGTCAAGCCCTAGTAGGACACACCCCAGCCACAAGGGGGCGCTCTCTCAGATGAGCACCAAAGGAGTATCCTGCCCCTCTATGTCCCTTATAAATGCTTTTTTTTTCGAGTGGTTGTTTTTTTCCATAGAAAATTTATTTATTATACTGCAGTGACCACAGTACCTCATTCTTATCAGCCAATCAAGCGAGGAGTACAGTATCAGCTGAATCCCAAAGGAGAATGTCAAGTGTTTACATATTTGTACAGTAGATACACACTGACTCGTATTTGTTTTTCCTTCAAGAAATACAAATATTTGGTTTGAGTTCACATTTTACCCCCCAATTTTTTTCCTGTGATTCTTACTCCAGCAAACTGAAGGGGCTATTTTTAAAAAAAAATGTTTGAATTGATTAATTTTTTTATACAGTGTTTTCTGGCTGTTTACATTTTTTAGCTCAAAGTGTAAGAGACCTGTTACTTTCCTAATTTTTAAATAACCTTTTTTTTTAAAAAAAAAAAAAACAAAACAAAAATGGCAGCTGTGTGGTTTTCATGTACTAGCTTGAAAATGTGGGGGCAGATTTGACCATGAGGCACCATTAGGGACAAAGGAGACTGGGGGGCTTCCTGGTTTTTGCAAAGCAGATATCAGGTCCCTTCGCGAAACTACTTAAAAAAAAACAAAAAAAAAAACAAAAAAAAACAAGCTTTGTGTGCATAAACAGAGCTGAAGAGGAATCGGTGTGTTTTCAGGCCTTTTATCTACTGCCTCACCTGCAGCCAAAGGACAGAGAATCATCCATGAGCCAACCAGGGGGTGGAGGGGGGCACACGGGCCTCTCCTTTTAATATCAACTGTTCAGCCTTTTTTTCCCCTTTCAGTTTTTTGATATAGAAATTTTGGACCAGCTCCCATGTGACTCTCCTGAAGCTGAGGACTTGCCTGTTGTTTAGCTGCATTTCTGCTTCAGGACCGTGGATCTCTGTCCCTTGACTCGCACCCAGGCAGCAGAGGAAGGCTACGCACTCCTGGCTCCCCGCCCCCCCTTCCTCGGCCTTCCATGAGGTTTCTGTTATGATCATTAAGCAGAGAGCTGAGGCAGCCTGCAGTGTGTGTGTGTGTGTGTGTGTGTGCGACTAGTGCTCAGGTGGCTTATCCTGTCTTTCTTCATATTCACTGGGGCCATCGCTAGGTTCCAGAGGCTGGAAAGACAATCTGGAAATAGGTCTTCAGCCATCGCTCTTTTGCGGCAGCTGACGTTGATGTTTTTAAGACAGGAACTGTAGCCGTGGTCCCCCTTGCGCCTTACCTCACTCAGCCACCCTCAGGTCCAGAACTCATCTCCTTTAGAGGCCAGGACAGTGCGGGCGAGGCATGTCAGAGCTCACTGCGGTCTGCAGCGTGTTGGTGCTGCTTCTGAAGACCGGGGGTGTCAGGGAGGTGGGCTGGCTTGGGCTCTGCTGGGATCTGACTGGTGCCCCCTGCTGGTGGTGCTTATGTGCCAACCTGCTGATTAGTGTCATGTTACCTTCAAGCCATGTTTATTACCGGGTCATGTAGCACTGGGGGTGTTCCATGAAGCAGGATTTCTTGCTTAGCTGGATAGCTTGTTAGATTTAAGGTAGTCTGGCTAAATTAAGTTAATCTTCGTTCACTTACATCTAGCTGACTACCTTAAATCCAACAAATTATCCGGCTAAGCAACATATCCTGCTTTGCGGAATACCCCCCTGGTATGTTTAGCCATCTGCAAACTTGCAGGTGTTTTAAAATTCAAAAATGCTGTTATGCAAATGCCCCCCCCCCCACTTTAGACACTGTAGATACTTTATGAGTCCAATATTTCTCAGCTGGTGCATCATAAATGAAGTACTAGAATTGAAACAAGCTGTGTGCACAGAAGGCAGTAGTGTGAGCTGGAGCAGAACCCCGCTTGTCCTTTTAAGTGTGTTTTCTTCCCATGGGTTTATCGCACATGTTGCAGGAGCCCCCAGGCATAGTGAGAAAGTCCCACCTGCTGGCCCCGTTATGTGCTATACAAACCAGCCAGTAAGTGGCAATAGGTCCTTCAGGGCTGCTCATTTAATCACAGCTCTGTGAAATGTGTGCGATTTGCCCAGACTAAGGGATTAAGTAATAATAATGATGATGATGATGATGATGATGACGATGATGATGAGGTGGCACTGGGCGACACTGAGCCTCGTGGCCTGCCCTTCCGGGCTGTGGCCTGCTGCTCTGGCTTTCACCCTAAGGGCCGACAGCGTTTGTGCTGGGAAGTTAGTGTCTCCTTATCTACAGCCATGTGCCAAATGCCAGATCACGGACAGAGCAGTGACTCTCCAGCCTTGGGTTGCTGTGTTGGCTTGTGCTCTAACCAGAAAGCTAAGGTGCAATAAGGGAGATGTGTGAGTCAGAGACTTCAACACTGCGCAAGATTCAAATTAAACACAACCGTTACTTTGTGTGTTGCTCGGTTGTGACGCAGGCAGACCTCCTGCAGGCTAGCTGCGCAGACGTCGGGTTCTGCTCCGAGCGTTGGTTGCCCAGAGGCGGCTATAGAGACTGCCTTCAGGTCGGGGAGGATCCCAACGTTGCCAACAGGTGATCGTAATTTTTTTTGTAACGCAAAAAGACAAATGGTACAAATCTATAGCACCAATGCCCAATGATTTACATTATATATAAGCCCGCCTGCCCAATGAAAGCCACTTAGACACCCTGTACTGACGATGGTTTACAGACCTCCCAAGCACTGTCACAAAGAGGAATGTACATATTGTAGACATACATTTTAAACATTTGATGTGTGAAAAGGTTTTTTTTCCCCAATAGAGAAGAGCTTAAGACAATTTGTTGACAATTGCCATTTTATACAACTGGTTTTGTACGCTCCCAATCCATGTGTGATGACTGGTTTTTATGCGCTCCCAATCCATGTGTGATGACTGGTTTTTGTGCGCTCCCAATCCATGTGTGATGACTGGTTTTTGTGCGCTCCCAATCCATGTGTGATGACTGATTTTTGTGCGCTCCCAATCCATGTGTGATCTCTCAGGTTCAGGTGCTCGGAGTCCCAGCTGTACTGCAGGATTTCGGTTTGTTCAGATGTTGTCAGTCACTCTTGTCATTTGTGAATTGTCATGATTTTTAAAAACAATAAACAGAACAAAATCATGTTTGTATAGTTATGAACCTTTCCATACATTTTCTGATACTGCTTGTCCTAATCAGGGTTAGGGGGGGGGGGTCCACAGCCAATCCTGGAGGTTATGGGTACAAGGCGGGGAACAACCCAGGATGGGCCACCAACCCATTATAGTAACTCAAATTAATCTCAGCATGTTTTTGGAGGGGGGGGGGATACCCCGAGTATACCCCCCAACAACATGGGGAGAACATGCAAGCTCCACACATGAAGCCATGCAGAGACTCAAACCCTGATCACCACCATGCTGCCATCCCCGTCAACCTTTCCATGCACTTGACAATTCAGATATACATCTATCCATACACTTTACATATATGCGTTTTATCCAAAGATCTGTGTGTATTCCTATAGAAATCACCCAGATAGTGTAACTGTGGCTTGTATTTTAATGTCCCGTCACTACACAGTTTCAAAAAATCAAATTCAGTCTGTCACTACTAAATAAGTGGGGTGGTGCAGTGCTTAGCACTGTCACCTTAGACCCCCGGGACCTGGGTTCGAGCCTCCACCATAATGCCATGCATTTAGAGTTTGCATGTTCTCCCTGTGTGGTCATGAGGTTCCCTCCTGATACTACAGCCTGCATCCCCCCCATCCCACCATTGTTCCCTGCCCTTGCACCCATAGGCTCCAGACCCCCCCCCCCAGACCCTGAATAGGAAAAGCAGTTACAGAGAATGGATGAACAGAAGGATGTTAAATAAGCAAACTGTCACACACACCATTTATTGTCACTTGTGTAATACGTTCAACTGCGTTGACTCTACAAAAATGTGAACCATCATATGGTTAACCGTATAAAATCTTCACCCATTACTTCAATACCTATGCAATATATTAGCCTTTTACATGACAATTAGCAAATGTATTTATACCTTGAAGGTTAACATCACTAATTAACAGTCCACAAAGCTCACCCTTCATTAAATTATCTGTGACCTGGATTCATTACAGTTTAACAGTCATTTTTTTACATTAATGTGCAGTTATTCAGGAGAAAAAAATATTTTAAGGCTTTACCATCATTTGAAGCTGTGCAATATGTTATCACAACTACAAATTCATGATAGTCCTTTAAAAATGATATAAAGCTGAAATGTCGGACCACATTTTTTCAGACTGACAAGTTCCCCTGTTCTCACCTTTAATAAGGACAATGCCCAGCGATGCAACTGCTGAACGTAATTCAGACACCATCACAATCCTAACAACGTCAGTCTTTATGGATCATTATGATTGTCCTTAGGAATGCTTTGCCAAATCATGTGGAGGTGAAATCTTCTGGCTATGTGGAGACAACCTAAACCCCCCTCCCCTCTCCTTCACCAAAACTAACAGAAGCTTCCAATTCCCACAAGGATGTACCACACAAAGACGAATGATCCTGATTCAGCCAGCAGAGCTCTGTGACTCCGCAAGGCAACACAAAGCCTTCTATAAACACCGGAGACTGATGCACACACCTCACCCTCAGTATTAAAACACGTTCATAGTCATCCGGTGAATCTCAATTATTTCCCAGAATCCTTGTGACTGGTAAATCGTAGGAAAGACACAAACATACTGGCTGGTATTGCACTCAAATGGAAGTTGGTTTTTACCTTAACATAAAAAGCTGAGCCTTATTCAACTGAACTATACAATAAAATACCTGTTTTGTTTACAATAGAGAGACCCAATGATCGCAATAATCGGTACAGAGTCCGCTGTCAGTCTACCTCATTCACCCTGACTGCTTATTTCAGGTTAATGCACATGTACTTGGCATAGTTTGTACACCCACCCCAACCCCCCCCCAAAATGTTACAGACTAACACCAAAACGACACTATTAAACCATATTTTACAAGGCAGGTACGCAAAGCAGCAGCCTGTGCTCCCAGTGACAGTGATCCAGTTCAGAGTCGCCACACACTGCAGTTATACAGGGGACAAACTGGGATCCACTTTGCACAACACGGTGCCTACGGCAACCTAACGAGACAAGCACTGATGACAGGACTTGGCACTGCGCTGTTCACACACTGGCTGCCCTGCCTGGATGCTAAGGAGATAAAAACTGCAAACCAAGCCCCCCCCCAGACACCACCCCCTACTCCATTCTCCTGCCAGGATAACAGTTCTGCTAAATGGTCATCATTGAATCTGGTATCCCCTCCAGGTTCACTCTCCCTCCAGAGGAGAAGAAAATTATTGATGGGCGTGACCCTCCCCCCAAAAAATGTAATACAGGAATGCAACAAATCCGTTTTCCATTTCTCAGCATTTGAAATGGACAAAGATAATTTGTTTTAGGTTGGGGGGGTTGTGTTCCTCCCTCCCTTTACAAGCATTATTTGTTAATCGGTTCTGCAGAAATAATGATAACCTCTTACAATATTCATTATATTTAAGGAAAGTACCGTTCATGCCCTGGCAAGCCATCACTGGCCTGCTTCCTGCTCACGGCCGTCAGACATGAAGTGCATGTCCAATAAATAGCTGCTAAACATCACTCACTTCCTGTCATGTGACCCAGACTGCAAAGCAACACTGGCCTCCTTCTTCACAGAACACGGCCATCACTGTGCCCTTCAGGAAAGGGGTGTATGACCTTGGCGGCAGAACGCAGCATATAAATGTTGAAGGCCAGAGCTGGCTGATCCTAAGTCAGCTGTTGAGTACAGAAAGTAACAGCTAAATTCTCACGGAATTCCCTGCGGCAGGTTTCGGAAACTCAGCCACGCACCGCCAAACGAAGGGGAAGAAATCAAATGTTTTTTTTTTTTTTATTCTTTCTTGGGACCAGAAATATAGGCTGCCAGTGTCACTTAGCAACTAGGCAAGTTTCCACGATTTTTTGACCTCATGAATATTCATGCGACTTCATGCGGAAACGGGTGGGCTGCCGCCGCTGCGTCTGACTGAACAGATGCATATTAATGGGCTGGGTGAGGAGAGAGAGCCCCCACAATCAGCGAAAGCGGCACGCGCGGCAGATCCGGGAGTGGCCAGCGGGGCAGGACGACATTAATCTGCAATAAATCTCCAAGTATGAAAGCCTCCCTTTGTTTTAAGCAGCCGAGCTGCCTATCGCCTGCCGGCCCCAAAGCCGCATCGATTACCCTCTCGGGAAACATCTCCAAAGCATGGTTCATGTTGTGATGATCAACCCCATTGGTGGTGCCGTTAAACCTGGCCCCCACCCCCTCTTCATTGTCCCCTTTCCCCATTGTCCCCCCCCCCCCCTCACTTTCTGGGGAAGAAGGCCGCCAGCCGCTGTTTCTTGATGGGCAGGATGTGTATCTCCTGCGAGTTGACCTTTTTCAGTTTGATGGCCCTGCTTTTGGCCGTCTTTTTGAGGGCGTCTGCAGCGCTGCAAGGTTCCCCCGGCACACGGGCCCCATAGCACTGCTGCAGCAGGGCCTCCTGGTTACCGTCACGCCGGATGGAGAAGTTCTTGGTGGAGACCCCAGACAGACCCTTGATCTTGCCACAGAAAATGGCGGGCATGGCGTCCTTCACCGAAACGATGACCTTGGCTGTCTGCGACGTGCTGACGATCTCAAAGTCACCGGCCCCCGCGGCGCCGGCCACAATGCCACACTTGGGCTCGCCGCCTGGCCTCCCGCCACCACCGTCCACCAGCCACTTGCGCTGCCGGCTGAACTCCAGAGACGCCAGGCTGCTCAGGAGCTTGGGGTCCAGCCTCTGCATCCCGTCCACAGGCCGGAGCACCTCCAGGGAAAGGCTGGCGGCGGCATCCTCACCTGCATGGCAGGCGCTGCGCTCGGGGTACATCGCTGGCAGCTCCCTGCCAAAGAAGGACTGGATGCAGGACTTCCTTGTGCCGGGCACAGAAAGGTCAAGGATGCCATCCGGCTGAAAGGGGATTTCCCGCTTTGTTTGGATTGGCACGGTCTTTACAGAGAGGTCCAAGGCCTCACCCTCAGGAAGGGCGAAGGAGCACTGGGGCAACAGCTGGGGGAGGTGTGCTGTAGCCCCCAGGCCATGGCCCTGAGATGGGCTGGGAGGCCCCTTGGCGTGAGTCTGCGTGCTTTTCGTGGAAGTGCAGGCTGGTTTGGGTGGGTCCATGAAACCCTTGGACTCTGTGTTCTGTGGGATGGGAATGGGGACTGGAATGGGAACGGGAATAGGCACAGGCAAGGGGACGATGACAGGGTAGGGCACCAGCAGGGTGGCTGGTGGAACCAGGGGGGACAGCGGGGAGCTGTAGAGGTGTGACAGGGGCGGAGGGGGAAAGAGGGCAGACGGGAAGTGTTCGGATGGGGCAGGGGCCGTGGGGTGGCATGTGGGGGGGTTCAGGTTGTTCTGGGAGGGGAACAGGTCCTGGAGAATGGCAGCAAAGCCTGGGCTCTGGAGAAGGGGAAGGAGACCTGGGTCCTGGGCCTGCCCAGGGGGTTTCTGGTCTGGGGGCGGAGCCTGGGCATAGGGTAAGGGGGCACTGGGACACAAGCTGCTGGCCTGTAGGGGAGCCATTGGGCAGGGCACCCCCTGCTGAAGCACGGGGGAGTTGAGGTGCTGGAACACCTGCTGCTCCAAGACCAGCGGCAGGGGGACAGGGCTCTGGCCGGCCATGAGGTAAGACGCACTCCCTGCCGGGCCCATCGGGGGCAGTGTGCCGCCGGCCATCTGCAGGTGAATGGGCAGCACCACGGGGCTCTCGCCCAGGCAGATGGGCTGAAGGACGGTGGTGGCCACCTTGAGCGCCATGCCCCCTGGGGTTTCGGAAGCGGGGGCCACCAACGAGGGTGCCGGGACTGCCACCACAGGGGAGAGAGACTTCCGCACCAAGCCTCCAGGGTTGATGTTCCAGGCCTCGGCTGTGATTAGCTGGGCGATGCCATTTTCTAGCTTGCCGCTGCCGTCGCCGGCGCTCACCGTGGCCGGGGGACTCGCCACGTCCAGGGGCAGCCCGGGCTGGCCGCCCTCCATGCCTTCCTCGTCAGCGCCTCCCTCAGGTGCTCCCGGCCAGTGTCCTCATCGCTGCAGACTCCCGTTGGAGTATAGGCTGACACGGTTCCTGGACCCAAGAGAGACAGAACACTGCCTCAATCTCACTAATAACAACCAGACAGCCGGAGAAAACGTGCAACATTTGGCTGGACTGACTCAAAATCACAAATGGCGGAGAGTCGAGGCTGCCACCGCCACATTTCCCCGCGGTTATTCCCCCCCCCGGCATCGCTGCTTTGAATTAAAGACACGACGTGGCCCAAAGACAAACTCACAGCCCTAACTAGGATCACATGCGACACACAATAAATCCCCCCCACAAAAGCCCATAAAATAGCCACGGCGTCCCAGCCAAAGAGCCAAACTGCGGTGCCACCATGCAGGAGGCTGTCAGCCATGTGCGACCCAGCAGTGCGCTGAGGCAGGAGACCGCGTCCAGTTAAAGGAGAAAGGTAAGAATTTAAAAACCCACGAAGGCAGAGAAAGGGGCGAAGAAGGAGAAGGAGGCTGTTATTATTTGAGTTTTGTACTGGTCCCTGCGAGCGGTTAATTATATTATGTTTTGGCAGCACGTAAACAGATCCCAGCGCTGAGTAATAAGCGCGATCCGGGGGCGGTTCGGAGCAGAAAGCACACTGACGCCACGCTGTCGCCTTCAGCGTCCCCCCCCCCCCCAACATCGCTTGGCGGCCGCCTTTCCTGGTGCGTACCACGGTGGCCGTGGATCAGTAGACAGACCTGGTTTCAGGTGTGTGAACCAGGCTGCAGGATAAAAAAGCCACTAAAATAAACATGCAAACCAACAGCTGAGAGGAGACCCTGGGGTTTGTGTTTGCCATCGCTGTGACTAAGCAGCTGGCGACAGGCGACACAAACCTGACGGTGTCACACCGTCCTCATGGCTCCGGTTCTCCTCTACTCTTCTGGTGCTTGAGCTGGATAAACATGGGAGTTTAGACGCAAACTGAACACTGAGGCCTGCCCCCCCCCAGCCACAAGCAGCAGATGTTCACGGCTCTAACGAGGACCAGGCATGAAGATACCCATTGTTGGAAGTTATTACAAACTTCAGAGACAGATCTTTCTGCCCCGGCAGGTGCATTTTTCCAGGGTCCTGTCAGGGAAGCAGGCCTTGGTCTTATTTTGTTACATCTCAGCTGGCCTTGGGTTTGCGGAGAGTGGGGGGGGCAGCTTGGGGGCGGAGTTTAGTGAAGGTGACGCTCCGGTCCTTCCTTGCCAGTGAGGGAACTGAGCCAAGCCACGACATGGAGGGATGCATCTCATTAGATGGCGGTGGGGGGCTGCAGTGAGGGTGGGGCTCTCTCACACATACCCAGGGTTCCGCCTCATGGAGCCAACCACCTTCAAAATGGGGGGGGGGGGTTCCTCTGCACACACTTCAAACTCAATGCGGGAGCTGCAAGGCAATGATGCATGTTGCACATGCGCGATCGCCAGCAGCTCTTTCCACGTCAAAAATGCACCCCCCACAGGAGCCAGCCCGGTCAGATGTACCAAACACGCCCATATCGGGTTCTGGTTTCCCCTGGAGACTTGTGGCATGATGACTTGCTCATAAAACGCTGGGGATAGTTACCGGGAGCAACCGCAGGTGACGTTAATGACACAGTAACCCGGGAAAGAGGCTCATCGCTGTCCCATGCCGCCTCCCAGCATCGGGAACGCCAGTCCCTGCCCTGCAGATCTCATCCCCAGCATTATTCCAGAATTTTCCACAGTCATACCTTCAGAGTCTAATGTTAGATAAAAACAACCTGAATGAAATTTTTTTAAAACCAAGACTATCGCTTTGCACTCAAGTGGCTGTGCCGCCTTTAGCTTAAATGGCCGAGAGCAAACGCCCTGTGTGATTCACATCACCTCCACATCACCGGGCAGGAATTTCAGGCCACTCCTCCATGCATAACTACTTTAATTCACCAACATTTGTGGGTTCAGGCATTTGTGGGTTCAACTGTTCCTGCACTGTACCAAGCTAAGAAAAAATTAAATGCTGGACCCACGAGCAAAATAATATTACGGTAATATTTCAGGCAAGCAAACTATAAATCTAAAATAGACTTTCATCTCACTGCAACTATATATAAATGTGTGTGCGGCTCATCACTCTGATGCCAGGGACTGCCAATGATTTAATCAAAACCGAAACGCAAATTTAGGTATTTGTAGAAATATTTGGACAATGAAAACATGCTTTAATGCTACCGGCATCGTGATTCATGTTTTATTGCTCTGAAATCCATTAAATGGTCAGCCAAGAACTCTTAAATACGTCTCCTGTGTAAGGGGAAATAAATTACGTGGCGGATCTGGAATTCCGTGCCACACAGTCACTAACGGCAGGAATGGCTCATTCTCACACGATACGCTTCTGCGTAAACAAATCACACCGCATTTCCCTCCCAGCCAGCCTGAAACGCTGTGCACCTCTGCACGGACTGCTCAAAGTGCAGCAGGAGCGAGGGGGTTAATCAGTAAATGACCAAAGGTTCTGCAGCTTGACTGATACAAAACAGGATTTCAATTGAACTATTAAACTCCGGGCACAAATTAAGCTCTGCCCCCCCGCCCCCCTCCATCCATGAGGTGCCCGCTGACACCATCCCTGATGAATGCAGAGACACACTGCAGACTCACCAGTGAGCCAGGTGTCTGGTGGAAGGTGCTGGACAGCCGGCAGGTGCTGATGTCCAGCCCAACACAACAAACACAGACCCGGCCGGGCCGCGCCGACCTCAGCGCTCTGCTCGCATTATCAATCATTAACCAGGAAAAGTCGACGTCCGTCTTAAAGTGGGAGGCCATGAAACTACAGCCCCCACTCCCAGAAAGATGGAAGAACACTGATGCTGTTCTTAGATCATTTTCCTTTGTATGGTCGGGCCACTGTTGCCGTGACAACCAGGATGACCGTTTTCCCCCCACAGTGGTAAAAGACCAAGAAAAAAAAAGAAACAACTCCTGCGGCCATTTTGAGACTTTCTCTACCACTTGGAAAGCAGCTCTGCTGATATATCAGCGTTCTTTATTCTCCTCTTCCTCCTCCTCTTCCTCCCCAACACATCACAAAGCCACGGCTTCAAACGCGGCAGTCAGACCGTACCGGATCGCGGGAGACCAGGCCGCCGACGGAAAGGCGGAGCGGTATCCCGGTGGCAGAAGAGAGGCGGGGCTGCCCTCAGCGATGGTCACACATGCTCCCCGCAGCCAATCAGAATCCACTCTGCCCAGACCACCTGGGTATTTATGACATGGATTTCCTGCATGACATAACCTCCAGGTGGCGGCCTGCTGTGCTCATGCTTCGCCTGACACAGCCTTGTGAATGGCTAACTAGTGAGCGGAGACATCAGGCTACGCACAACATCGGCCTCCGTCACGGAGTGCTCGCCTAGGGGACATCGTTAGAGAAGTGCACTCATCTGAAAAGTGTGCTCAATGACCTCAAAGTCCGGCACACACACACACACTCCTACCCCCTACAAACACATACCTACCTAGCTCCATTTTTGTACTGAGAATGCAAGTTAAGCTCTTAATTTCATTAGTCATTGACGTAACCTGGGAGGGTGGAGTCCGTGGTGATGGCACGTGAGGAGCAGAGGAATCGCTGGAGGCTCTAGCTTGTTGTGCTTCAGCAGAAGCATTATGGCAGAAAGTACCAGTGCCACAAGCATGGGGTGGGGGGGGTCTACTGATCTGCTCACAGGCCCCGCCCACCATAAACCCTGCCCACAACAAGCCCACCTGGAGGTGTAGACCTCCTTGGTGAGTGTACGGCAGGCTGCGGACAGGACTCTGGGGTGGAGTGGCAGGCTCCTGTCATTTTGGCCGGTGCTGTGGAGCACCACTCACCATGAACAAAGCCCCCACCAGAGGCTTCTGTAATTATCGGTGGCATGACGCCTGCGAATCAGTCACACAAAAAGCTGCCGCCTATTTATACACGACCCACATGTAGCCAGTAGCATGGCAGACAGGCTGGGGCTGGCCGGCACAGGGCACTGGGGATGTGCCAAGGATGAGGGGCTGGGCAGGCCGGGCGGGGTGTGTACCAGCATACCAGCCCCCGGAGTCCAGACCAAATTCCGCGCCCTGCGCCGTAATTACTTCCACATTTCCAAGCCCTTTATCTCGCTTCATGCCGTCGCCCTGGGGTCTCTGCCGTGCTCGCCGGGGCCGCATGCCGCATGCCGCATCCCGCGCAGCTGCGGATCGCATGACGGGACGGCTGTAAAGGAGCGCGCCTTGCATTTAAACTGAAGACCAGACGTGCACACGCCATCGGGTTGATTTACGGGTCTCGACTGTATTCTAGCAAACAGGAAAACCATGAGGGGGGGGGGGGGGGGGGGGGGGAGACAACAAAAGACATGGGGATGCAGAGACGTACCTCGGGGCTGAAAATGTGGTTGTGTTTTTCCTATGCACCTTTCACCATGCATTACGGTCTGTCCTCTGTAAAAATGGGCCCTCGCCCCCCCCCCCCTTTCCCATTTGAGCCGTGATTCCCCACATGCAGCAGCAGCGGCTTTCCAGTTTCCATGGCGAAGCTGGCAGGCCATCACTCATTCTCCCGGCGCCACGGTCGCGTTCTGGACTCCTGCCCCCCCCCCCCAGGGCACAGCCGGATAAGTATCTATCTGCAACACCTTGGCCCCCCAAGGGGGGTGCCGTAAGCCCCACGACACCAAACAGTGAGCCATTTAATCCGCTCATAAACCGACAGCACGTTACAGCTAGCATTACCTGTGGCTGCCTGAGTGTCAGGACCAACCGCCCTGATTGGTCTGTTACGATGGGGCGGGGTCAGGAGCTAGCGTTACCTGTGGCTGTATGAGTGTCGGGACCAACCGCCCTGATTGGTCTGTTACAAGGGGGCGGGGTCAGGTAAAGTCTGACTCTGGAAACCGGAGGGTAACAAGAAATAAACAGTGACGACATGCGTCTGGAATTTGTGGTGACTCTGATGGGGTGGGGAGGGGTGCATGACCTGGTTTGTGACCTTGGCTGGACAGACTCCGCCCATGGTGCCCGATGCCTGTTTGGGTAGTTAAGGTGCAGCTCGCGGTGGGTTACAGCTCTAATG